ATTTCATTCCGGTGTGATAATTCCTCCGCTAGCCAGGCTAGGGTATTCCTCACCTGCTGTACTCCGTGTCCTCCGCTTAGTGTTTCTAAGAAGATGCGACGAAACTTTATTACCGGGCATGTATTGCTACTCTGCCTTCGTCTCCAGCAGCTCTGCCAGCTCTGCTTCTAAGCCGAAGCTGCAGTGAACCTGCCCCAGACCATGTTCCAACGTCTAATTGCATGAGAAACGTGACTGGGTGCACGCTTCGCCTGAACCAGCATTTCCAAGTCGAGGGGAAAATTCACCTGCAAGTACCTGCTGCGTCGACTGACTAGCAGGACCGTCACGCTGCGCGACGTTCAGCACTGTCCAGACCCTGATACCTACGCAGAACTCAAGCGACATCTCACTTCGCACCTTATCAGGGCCACAGCCAGAGCTATGTGCTGACCGCACTTCGTGGCATCCTCAAGGCGCGAATTGTAGGCAACACGGCAACAGCTCTTGGAATCTAATTCACGGAAATCAATGTCCTGCCCTCGTCGCCTTCCTTCAGCAAGAAGGGCGTGCAACTCACCGTGACGAACCTTGTTGCACAAATCAAACTGCAGACGCATGTGTCGTTGTTTTGTGGGTGAGAGAGGGCTGTGAGTGTTGAGGTCGCAGCGAGATGCCCAAATAAATACTCCTGAGAGTATTGCCAGTATTGAGCATGCCAGCGGACGAACATGAAGGCAAACAGCCGGTGTGGCCATGGCGTGGTACTCGGGAATGGCAACAAGCCTGATTTCACGTATGGCACTGATCGATTAATTCAGATAAAGCCACGTCAGTTGAGACCCGGACAGACGAACAAGCAAATGGAAGTGCCCCCGAGCCACCTTGCGGGCAAGCAACATCAGGCAGGATTGTTCAAGGCTGCAGCTTCTTGGCAGCAGCTCTTGGAAAGTCTGTTCTGGACAATAAGGAGCCCTGCATAAAACTCTGCTCGAGCTTGAAGAAGCCGCAGCAACCTTTGTGATGTATGTACACCGACACCCATGGACCCTGCAAAAGGCAGAATTACGAGCATGCTTGCTTATTCCAAGCTGGGCAAACAAGAAGTTGAGTGTTTTGAGCTTTCTGCTCGCTGACAGAACGTTCCCGGCAGCCCTGCTCGATGCCGGATGCAGATGTTGTGCAGGTGAGACTGTGTCACTGCCGAACGTGCCTGAACGTAGGAGTGATAGGCCATTATCAGCACCTCAACCTCCGTTTCTGGATCAAGGACTTGACTGGGGACCTGCGCAAGTGATGGCGAAGCTACCTACAGCTGCTGGAACAGGCACTGAGGTTGAGACGGTCACAGAGCCATGCTCCGTCTTCACCAGCTCCCTGCAATCGGGATGAAGCTCTCAGTCTTGAGTCCTAGCCTGCTCTACTGCCACCGTTTGACACCAGAAACGCACAACAGACGCCACTAGCAAACCTTCGGGGCTCCAAATTCCAAACCAGGCAAACCGTCTCTGCTCTTTCTGGTTCTGGATGATACAAGGCCACGCAACCAGCACGTCAGGAGAATAAAAAGGATGCTCGCTCCAACCGACTACATTGATGAGATGACAGCTCCCGGTTAGCCACATGGTACCGCCTGCTTTCCAGGTCCACTACGGCTTAGGGAAGGCGGCTCCACTTCTCCCTCCAACAGACGCAAACACAGTACTGACGATACATTCATAAGAACCATGAACCTGCAACACTGCTTCAGTCCCACCAGAATCTCACATGTGACGTGCCACTTGGAGGCTCGCAAACGAACAGGGAAGGGATGCAGGGAACGAACATCGATACCACCGGCACTGCCACGATGCGACCACAACGGAAGTCGAATGATCGGTGGGAGGCCTCTTAGCTAGGAGAGTTTCGATCCTCGGCATAGGGCATAGGGCATAAGGTGCCACCCGAGATAGGCCCGCGAAAAGCTTCGGGATCAGAACTTCAGATGCTCTGGCCTGAAGCTCGGAATTCGCTGGAGCGCCGCATGTCCCAAGAGCTCCTGTGCTGACAGCACAGCGCTTCAATGCCTTCGAGACCTGGAGGGCGAGTCTGCGGTAGATCGGAGTCCGGGCCTGTGACGGGCTCAGCGACACAAACTCGTCGAGCTTCTCTTCCGCCCACCGCATGACACCCTGCGAGAGCCTAGGCACACGCGCAAGAAGTCTGAAGTCTGAACAACTCATCCCCTCATCTGCTAAGCTGCATGGATTCGATGAAGGAGTCCAAGAGCACCTCGAAGAACACGCGCAGTTGTTCTGCGCAAGTCACGATTTAGAGCCGAAGCCTCGGCCACAGCCACGGCATCAAGCCTCGGGAAGCCTGTGATGAGATTCCTGGATAGCCAGGCGTCTCGCAAGCGTTTCCAGATGTACCGGCCAGTGCCTACACAGCTCGATGTCCGCACAGTAGGGCCTCGGGATGCGGGCGAACTTCATGCGCAAGGAGGATTCGAAAGACTAGGTCCGGTGCTGAGGGCTGAGAAGCAAAGACAACAGTTTGGTGGGCTCCACCTTCTCAACCTCAACACACGCAAGCGTTCAGAACTGCGTCTGAGGCATGGCACATGTTTTGCGCACATGCAACGCCAAAAGATATCCCTGCCTCTTGATAGTCCATTCCGATGTTTCTGGACACCGAGTAGAAAACCCTACCTGCGAGGACTTCGATAATTCGCGTCCCAGGCTTGCACGCAAGGCGGGTTCATGAAACTAGGCTGGCTGACAGCGACGGCAGTACAGGGCAATCCTGTCTGAGCAGTGCCTGCACAGGAAACCGCATGCGAGGCCACATGCCATCAATGCAGTTGCGAAGTTTGAGCACTGGACGATCCCAACTCATTCAACAACGGTTCTGCATCGCCTTGCCTCGGATGGCAGTCGCTTTCTCACAGACTCTGGTGCCAAAAGCTGTGGCCACGGCTCGGCAGCTGTCAGGGCTGAATCACTCGGCCTGCCGAGTGCAACAGGTGTCGCTGGTTTCGCAGCATGTTTGCAGCTAATGCCTCAAGCCTCATAGAATGCGAGGCTTCAGCAAGGTGCATTGATGGCGGCTTTGCTGGTGATGGGACCATCGGGGCCCGGACTCTAAAGGCGACTGCTGAGATTTCAAGCGATGCACAGCCTTGCACAGAAAAGTGTCGTAGACAACACTGCAAAGGTGTCACCTGCCTCCAAATGCTTGCCACCTCAGCAACCGAATCATGCTGCATGAGCACTCAAGCCATCAGTCGCCTCACTGCCAGGCCCGAGGCCAGCAATTGAAGAGAGAGCCGCGGCCAGTTTTTGATCTGAACTTTCATATCCAAAACCTGTGAAGAATCAATTTTCAGATGCAATTGCACCAGACTGCATGGAAGTCTGCATGGTGCCTGAAGCTAGCTGGTCTGCCAGCATCAGTTCGTCTCGATTGATGAGAGAACTGATCCCGGTCTCCAGGAAAGGGATTAACCTTTCAGGTGCGAGTCTGGCAGTTTTCTTTGCATTGGCCTCCAAATCGCATGAATTGCTTCGACTCATCCACGACTTTTGGTTCGATCGATGCGTAGCTCTTCCGCTGGTGCTGCCGTCCCGTCACACAAAGCACACGACTTTGAATTGTATGGATCGGTCTGGGTTCTATGATCAGAAAGGGGTGTCTACCAAAGGTCCGCACATCAAGGCCCTCAGGGAGCGACTCGCCGCGTGGGCCTTTTTGCTGTGCATCCAAGACCTGGGAATACTTTGGAGAGCAGCTGGGTACAAGTAGGGAACCGATTGTGTTCATCACCGAATTAAGGTGCAGGCTGACCCTCCCTGACCCTCCTTGGCCGAAGGCCCTGCGCCTGCACCGTAGTCAGCATGAACCGCCACGACGGGCTTTCCACGCCACTGAGAGCAGGACCGAAGGACGAATTGGCCCTCGCGCTCGTCATTAACGCACCCTCCATGCCATAGAGTGGCAAAGCCTCAGACTCTCAAAATGCTGCAAATGGCAGGGGAGGAAGGCCAGCTCTCGGCAGCAGGCATTTACTTGGTCTGGGATCCGATGCACCAGCGCGCATATGGTCTTGTAGGACAGGTCCTCACCGGTAGCAGCACTTGGGATCGTACTGGTCACAGAACTGCAGATCCCCACCATTCGAAGGCACTTCTGAAACCGGAAAGCGCATCCGACGGTTGGAACACTCTGCAACATCTTCCAGCCGATGTTTCAGATCTCTACGTAATTTTTCACTAAGGCCTCACTTCTCTTCCACAACTCCTCCGCCAAAGCCTCCGTGTGCCAAGAGAGAGTCGGTGCTGGGAAAAGGGTGCCTGGTGCGCTCCACCACTGACCGTCCGGCAGTTTGCCGGCCTCGGCAGAGTCGGCGAGCCACACGATGCCTTCTGCTGCTTGGCTCGGCGTCTTCAGGCCGAAGAGACGTGCCTGCCTAGCGAGCTGCGCAGGATCCATATCTCGGCGCTGCAATGCCCGCTCTGGAAGCGAGTATCGCACGATCTGCGTGGCTGTCGGCCCGGGATCGATTGAGTTTGCTGAAGCGAAACTACCTTTCGCGTGAAATCGTCGTGCGAGCTCTTCGGCAAAAAGGATGTTACAGGCCTTCGATGCAGCATAGGCCTCATGTCTTCCGTAGTCACGCCGTTTCCAATCCAAATCATCCAGATCCAGTTCTGCATCCAAGGCAGCTGAGGAGGTCACTGTCACAACCCGAACTTTCTCAGCTAAAGAACTCTTCAATCCCATCCATAAAGCGAAATGTCCAAGGTGGTTGACTGCGAAATGAAGCTCCTGACCCTGGGGAGTTCTCTCGAGAGGAGCACCATCAATACCAGCATTGAAAATCAAGGCATCAAACTGCCCTGTCGAACGCGAAAGGGCTTTGGCACACCTGGACATTGCAACCCACAACAACTACAAGGAACTGCATTTAAACCCAATACCAGACAAGTTTGGGAACTCGCAGTTGGTTTACCGGAGCTCACTAGTCGCTAGAAAACCCCCTCAAAGGTAAAGCTGCGGGAACGGGAAGTCGCACCCCCTTTGTCTCACCCTGCCTGGCCACTGATTGCAAGTCTGCCAAGTCGCAAGGAACATCAACTTCACCAATCACAGCCTCTGGCACCAAGTCCACGATATCTTCTTTCGTCTCACGCGCCTTCTCTGTTGAGCGGCATAGAGGAACGACCTCCCATCCTTTAGAGGCCAGGTCCACGGCCGTTGCCAAACCGATGCCCGAATTTGCTCCGGTGACCAAAACTCGCCGACGGGAATCACGGGACTCTGCAGCCCGAGATCTCTGCTTGATAGCACTGCCAGCAACCATTCCAAGAATCACAGAGGCTACTGGAGACCTGCGAGACGCGTGCAGTCTGGTCACGCGATCAGCCTGTCTGGCTGGTTTGCCCGTGTCAGCAGAGCACAGCCTCCAGCCGGCCCATGTCCCTGCCTGGACGAGAACTGGCATGGTTGCTTGGCGCTTTTGAATGGAGCCTACGTCTTGCCAACTGCTATTCTACTATATTATGCTACTTGCGTCGCTGCTTCTACCGACATGCAGTAAGCCAGAGCTGTGAGCGAAGATCAACATTCGCAGTGACGTGACATGAGCAGCACCGAGGCAGTCCAGAGGGCACAGTTCCAAATCCGGCGTCAAATCCGGCGCCGTGCCCGTCAGAATGAGAAGCAGGCTCACCTTCCTGGGTTCAGTATTCGACTTGGGCATGGCTGCATGTTCAATCATAATCATGGTTCGCGCTCCCAAGTTGTGCCCGGTCGCAGCTGCTCGAGATGATCTTCGTGCGAGGACGTGACCTCCGGAAGCAGGTGAATCTACATTTGCTTGTCAGGTTCAAGCAACTTGTGGCTTGGGCCCATGGGTTCACCCTGGCTTGGCTCAGCATCAATCCGTGCATTGTTGACCCCATGCTTCAGCTGCTCTTGATGGAAGCTCAAGCTGGGCGGGCGAAAAGAATCCTGTCGATACCTGGACTCCCGATCTCTTGCTGCGGGTCTGATCCTACGTTGCTTCGTTGTTTGCTTCATTCTGGCCTGTATTCGTTATCCCGTCCCTCCGAGACGAGAACACATCTCCCAGTCCAGCTCTAAAGAACATCATCTGACCGGGGCAGAAGGGAGGGCAGAGCAGAGATCAGACAGGTGTTGCGACAAGCAACCACACAGCAACACTTAAAATCAACACAGCTTCCTATCCAAATCTGTCAGCAAAGCCGTCTCGCTTTGTTTGCACCGGCCTGTGCTGCGCTGTGTTGAATCAAGAGAAGCTCCCGGGCAATGGAGAGAAGGACCAACCTCGCACGACACGAACGGGTGACTTTAAAACTCAGGCCATGCGGGAGGGCCGTCTCAAAGAATGCTCTGGGCAAGTGGCTGCTCCCGTGCGAAGAGATCCGGCCTTTTCGTGCATGGAGCCAACCGGACATGCTCATGACGATTTCTGCCCCTGCAATCATGAGCATTAGCGAGGATGATGCTCCAGCTTGGCAGTGATATCCAAGAAAAAGTTTGCAGATCCTTGCTGTCACGAGTCTGCCAACAAGTGCCCGAAACTTCTCGAAGGATGTCTGAGAAACAAACCCACAGGAGGGCTTTGACGCATGAAGGCACTGAAGCCTTGCCGAATGCTGCAAAGGGCTGCAGCTGAACTCTCAACCAACTTCGCATCGCTTCCATCGCCAGGGCGCATTTGTGCCAGAGTTGAATTCTCTCTGCCAGCACATTCCACCAGGCTCCCTGCAATGGAACCGGGTCAAAACACATTCGCATTTCAGACGAACAATGCCGGCACACCTGCCGAAACTCGACGATCATACCTGCATCTAGCATATCGCTGTCATTCACAACATGCTGTCTATGTTCGGCCCAAGCAGCCCGTCACTTCCTCGAAAACGACGGTGTCCCCAGCCACACCTTGCTCTGTGTGGCAGTGCTTTCGTGCTTGTCTTCAACCAATCTGAGTGGTAGGCCACTCTGCTTGGCCCATTCTCTGGCTTCGGAGAACATCTTCTTCGAGATGAGTAACTGCCTCAGGCAAGGGCACCCCGAATCCCAAACTGCCTTCTTCTCTCATGCAACGCGCAGTCGTTCCAGGTTGTCGACAGCAGTTCTGTACTCGGCACCCGGAAGTCAACATCCAAACCGGTCCTCACCAGTGCACACAGAGTGCCGACAACGAGTTGCAACACAAGAGCACACAGAGTTACAAGCTTTTTCCAAAAATCCGTGGCCCCAGCTGTTGGATCAGCCTGTCAGTGAGTCTGGTTGTGACCGCGACATCTATCTACTCCGTACAGAAGCTATATGTAGCAGCAAGCTGCAGTCCCAACTTTCGCCTGTAGGCGCTGAAAAGCAGCGAGAAGCGCGGAGAAAAGCCGGCTTCATCAAGCCTGACTTGTCAATGTCGAGTCAAGCAACAAATTGCTTGCCTCACACGAACTCCAAGTCATGCGTGCGGTCGCGAGATGCGCCCTGTTTCGGCAAAGCTATGCAGGCGAGAATGGGGCTAGAGTAAAGCCAGAAGCATTGCAAGCTTTTCAGAGCTTCCCGGCTCGTCCTGCAAAAGCCTCTGCAACCTTCGTCGGCCAGCCTTTGGAGCAACGTTCGCTTTCTCAGCGATATCCGGAAAAATGTGGCCCGCATAGTCATCACATTTGTTCTTCATGTGTCCGTGCGTCGTGGGGACACGTCCGAGACTGGGCTCCTGTTTCACGGCTCAGCCTGTATGAGTTGTCGCTTGCGGCCATGACTAATTGTTACACCTGGGGCCTTGGTCCTTTTGAAACGGTGTGCGAGGGATAGTGCAAAATATACAGGACTAGGTAAGCCCCACAATCAGGCTTGCGGTTGCTGCAACGTGTGCTGCTTGACGTCCATCTCAAGCCACGGCGTGCTGAACCATGTGTGTCCGACTCACTAAGGCCGAGACAATTACCGAAACTGAGTGGTCGGCACTGATAACAACATCATGCGAGACCTGGGAAAACCATCCAGAAGGTACCTGGCAAAGACGAGAGGATTTCCAAGATGCTGTTGGAACTGGACAGCGCATGCTGGTCGATCCGACCATACCATGTCTTCGCTGAGTCGTTCAACATGTGGCCTCAGTACACACAACCACCAGCTTCTGCTTCGTGTAGTGTTTGCTGCCCTTGTATTCTGAAGACTCCCCTACCACATCCCGCCATTGCATTCTGGTGACGAGAAGTCCAGTGCGCACGATGTTCCCTGGGCAAGGCTTCAGTCTCTCCGTCTAACACTGTCCCGACGTTCTCAGGGACAGGGCAGACTCCTGGCGTCGCCCGACGAAGCGACGCAAATGCTCTCGGCAGCTCTTGAAGCGACACTGCCTCGGCTCGCCAGACGCTCTGCCGGCTCTGCTTGCGGCTCGCAACTCCCCGTGCTGAGCCGAAGACACAAATGCCCGATGAAAGCAAACAAAATCGATGAGCGGATTCTCCGGATCAAAGATCTGTCGCCGTCATGCTTACATGTGCACAAGCTGGGTGCAAACGGCAGCGACTACAGATTACAGTGAAAGCAAACATGCCTTGAGGGCTCGAAGAACCAAGGAGAACGCATGACCTTAATGAAGGCAGAAAGCTTGCTGACAGGTGTGGAACAAAAACAAGCGAAATGGAAGCAGCCATTCGCTGCATAGCACCAGGCGCTGTCGACAGAGGCTTGCAATCTGCACGGCTACCTCCCAGGATCTGGCATGGAAGCATGGTCTCTCCGGCCTCAAGCTGACCTGCCTCGCCCGGACTTGCCGCCGGCGATGGCAAGGGGCCAACAACAGCATCTGGCACCTTGTGACAGGAAGCGTTGTCGACCATGCACTTCTTGTAGCGGTGAGAGAATCTCTGCTAATGCTTAAGCAGAAGTTGAGTCGGTTCGAGCATCATGAATTTTAAGCTTGACAGCGCCGCGGGCTCCGATCCAGCAGCGAGACAGGATCATCACACAAGAAAGCCTCCGAACATAAGGATCCCCCTTTTGCGGTCTCAAACTCGTAAACAGGGAAGCCTAGAAAGCTTCGTCCTGCGGGATCCTCACGACCTCTTCTTTTTGATCCCAAGACAGCATAAGACAGCTGGAATGCACAGAGGCAACAAGCACTCGATGCCGTGCACGGCACCTGATTATCCCGAAGTCGTTCTGCATTCACGGTGAGCCACACTGCCATGCCTCAGGGTGACGGAGCAATCGCGACACCTGGTTGCGTCTCTGCATGCTGAGACCGGGACATTGAAGGTAGGTCACATCGCTGAAGGCCGAAGCCACAACCGCGAGCCTTGCCTTTCTGTGGAGGAGCGCATGGCCTAATAGTCCTAAACTCATGGAGCTGCCGGTTGAGCGGAGCGAGCGGCTTCTTTCCAAGAAGCTGATGGCATCGGCCGGCACACTCGGGTCATCCACCTTGCCACTCCGACCTCTCTCTTCACGTCTTCCCTGTCCTTGCTGCCCTTGCTGCCCTTGCTGCTCTTGCTGTCCTTGCTCTTGTGCAGCAATCGAGTTGGCAAGAATTTGCAGATGGTTCTGCAGAGGCACTTCGGTGAAATAGCCGCCCACAATGTCAAGCACCGTCTCTGCAGGGCACTGCTGCAAGTCGCTCTCATACAAGAACATAACCCAGTCATTGTTCCGTGCGAGTTCGTGAAGAAGAGTGAGTGACCGCGGCAAGGAGTGTACTCGGCAGAACAATGCCACGAGGTGCCAAGGCAGATCATAACCCAAAGCCTGGATGGAAGACGCCGTTGGAGCCGATGGATGAGGATCTAAGGCCCAGGTGGATTCTTCCAGCATGCGCAGAGCATTCAACAAGTGGGGAGAGCTGATTGCCGCCTCGGCAGCAGCACTCGCAGATGCATCTTCTGTGTCAGGGAAGGACATGAACAACTGAATCACGCTAGCAGCTGCAGCTCGCTGACGGTCTTCGCCCGCGCTTCGACTTTGATGCACAGTGTGGGAATAGATTCGCTTCGCTGCTTCCACATCCACTCGCAACTTCTCTGTCTCCAAACCGCAGAGCTCCAAAAGGCAAACTGCACTGGAGACGACCCCCTCATTCAGCAGATTGTGCAATGCGACAGACTTTGCTGCTTTCCGCAGACGACGGGCATCCTGCATCGCATGGCACATCACTCTGTCTGAAACTGAAAGAGTTGTCCTCTGCAGCCAAAGCCAGTGGAAATCGGAGTTCCTCCCCGGCCCTCAGAGCTGAAAGGTCTCAGGATTGAACAGGCATCCGCTTGTGAGGACATGGCTTCAACTGCCGCTTGCAGTTCGTCATCAAGACATGATATGCCATCATGGCCTCAGAGAAGCACGTAAAGCTACGCGGCTGCAAACATCATGAGCCGCAGCATCAGAGGCCCGAGCTCTTCCTTGGGACAAAAAGTAACCTGCAGTGTTGGAGGCTCTCGGTTTAACATGTAGCAAGCAAAGCCAAGCCGTAATCTAATCTCGTGGTCGGACAAGACCGATCGTGCGCATGAAAAGTTTCGAACGAGCCAAATCCTGAAAGACTAAGTTCCCAACATGCCCAAACTAAAGCCAAGCTAATCCAAGCCGGCGGGACTTTCCTCCAGCTCATCGGGAAAGTGCTCGTCCGTATCCTGCGGACACACTTCAGCAACCCAGCTCCTTGCCCCAGGGCTTACTGAGGCGCCCTCCGCCAATTGTGCCAGGTTGAGCACCTCGCATTCCTCGGAAGACTGGCAGATGGTCGGCTCATCACAAGAAGTTCCCTTGCCAATAATACCAAGCTCGGAGCTTCAAAGATGCAGAGTCGATCTAGGACTTGGACCTGAAGCACGGAGGATATAGCCGAAAGAGGACCAACCAATACCGTACTTGACCTTAATGCGAGGCTTTTTGCAAATAGCCTGGCAGCCTGCAAGGAGAGCCTAAAGGCAGACACGCGTGCAGGCAGCTCCAGCTGGGGATAACATCTCGAAGAAGTTAGGGCAAACTGCGGCTGTCACGCCTGCAAACCTGGACAACACCACTTCCAGAAAGCCTCGAACTCGAGCGACGCGTCTTGACGAAGCTCCAACATGCTAGCCATTGTGAATCTCTCGACTCACAGAAACACACTTTTCATTACCATCGAGGCCGTTGAGACTTTCAAACAGGTTTACAGTAGCCCCAAGGGTTGGGTTGTTTGGCACAAATCAAGGCAGTACATGCCCAAGCCGGTCCTGCGCATTGAGTTGTTGCTGCTACAAAACCACACTCAAAAATCAACGCACAGGCTAGTCTCGAACAGGTGCGCGGGTCGGCGTGGGTCTCTGGTGGCGAAAGTAATGGATACGTCTGCACATTCCTCTTGCGCCAAAATCAGGCTTGATAGATAACTCATTCGGGAATCTTGGCTCTCTACAAATGTCGATCGCAAGTCGGCCGAAAAAGCACAAACTCATGGGCCGAAATGCGAACTGCTGGAAAGAAACTCACCTTCGCCATAGCAAATTTAATGAACTTTGTGTCGCTTCCACCTTTGACCTACCTTGTCAGAAAAACGAACTTGCCCCATATACACAGCATCTTAACTGGTCGTCGTGACGGCTTGAATGAGACTGCACTCCAACGTTGCATCTCAAGCGGCCGGCTTTACGTTTCAGTTCACATGTCGGTGTAAGGAATCTGAAGCTGACTTCAACGTCAAAGTTTTCGGCTTCAACAGTGACAAACTGAATCGAAGCTCGCCATCATCAACACGATGTGTAGAGCAATGTAGATCAAACGTTTTTCCCTCCGATTAATATCGGCTCCCGGACCCACAGTAAGCTCATGCAAGCTCCCTACTGCTGGCCCCATTATCATCTCGCCGCCGCGGTAATCCTGAAGCCAGCCACCGCAAGCTTGGGCCCACTTCTGCTCTATGATCCCTTACGTTTATCCTGCTGCGATCCAGATGTAGCTGCTACGATCCCGATATAGCAAGCGTAAGAAAGCAGAACACAGGCTTACACCTGGTCTGTGGGACCAAAACGGCGTTCTTTCCGACACTACCATCGAGCCCCGCCTGACATATCGTCCGTCCCTTGGTACCTCCATGTTAGGCATTGCTTCGTTAGCCATTAACTTACAACTCACTTCGCTCGAAATCACCAAGCCTCGTTTGACCTGCATCCTCCGTCTTCCGAAAACTAAATTTACGTCATCAACGATTCATCCCAGTTCTCCCCCTGCCCGAGCAAATGACTTTAAAGTGACAAAGGACAAATTGTGTTCATGCCGGGTACCCTTCCCGACACCCCAGCCCCAGGTGTTTCCCAGTACCCTGATGCAACAAATAGTCCGGACATTACAAGTCACTGGCAACCCAACGAGCTTGCCTCTCTGCTTCGGCTGGAGAAGCCAGTTTGCGCCCTAACAATTACTCAGTCAACTTCAGTTGAACAAAGGCACCTGCCCACCGGTTCCACAAAAACCAACTCAGACTTTTAATCACCGGCCAGGAACCAAGATCGGATCCAAGGTACCTGACCCAAGCTTGCTCAGGAACTCTGGGAATGCACTCCAGAACATGAAACACGACTCAGTCCCTCAGTCTGGCAGAGCACCCTAGTAGCACACGTGTGCCCGTTACGTCCGGTTCGAAGCACTCCTTTTCAATGTCGGCCGGCTCGACAGACGCTCGACCAAATCATCTGGCGGAACAGTTCCGGAAACCGCAAGACGGCTGCTGTGCGCTGGACAGAAGGTCCAGAATAGGAATAGGGATAAGAAAGCTTGCGAATCCGCATGAACGGAAACAGACGTCAAGTGCTCTAAAATGTCCTGCACTATGGGTCGGTCTGATACCATCGTTGAGGCAACGACAAATTTTCTTTCGAAGACATACTCCCAACCGGCAACGTTTGTAGAGCTTCTAGAAGATTCTCGAACTCTGAGGCGCTCACAACATCGAAAGACGCGACATCGCTCAGAAGCGTTGACAACGCGATCTGAGCTGCGGCGACTGTCAGGCTTAGCCATAGCCTAGACGGCCTAGAAGGTCTAGGGCAGAGTCTGGGGTACTGACGTCTCCCTTGAAGGTTGCCATTTCCTCGACCGTCATGTGCCTCGTCTCTGGACATCTCTGGACTTGCAACGCTTGGGCCCTCGAGATGCCAAGGCCTCTCTCCACCGGTGCCTGCTGCTCCTAAAGAAGCAGAAAGCAGCCTTTAGTAGCTGACCCCATCCTACAGCTCTAGAGCTCGGCAGGTCTCCTTGCATCTCAAGCTGAGGCAAGATTTCCTGCGCACTGATGCACAGGACACTCGAGTCTACATGGTAGGCTCTTGAATATTACTCAAGAAAGCTTCATCTCCAACACACAGGCACATGTAATATCCATCACTCCTTGGGCATCATCCGATTCTCCGTCTTGCCTAGCGCCATAACACATGACACGCGATGTCGCGTGCACATGACCAGGTGATCTCGGCAAGAGCCACCTTGGCAAGAGCAAGCCTCGGCCACTGCCTCCACGAGGCTTCTGCCTCGGCTGGGGAATCGACCCCAGGCATCTCGCAAGCTGTTCGCAAGCTGCAACACGGTTTAATGAGCGACCGACCATACTTGTGGCTTTCTGCTGGAGTCTCCTTTGTGTCATCCTCGCAGTGCTTGTTGTGGCAACGTACTCTGAATGCTCGACGTTCAGCAGTCATACTCATGCCTTCAAAACAAGTGGCCAACACTGCTCAACTGAGCTGAATTCCAAACCGTTTCGCCATCTCGCAAGTGGCGGAGGCACTGCAAATTTTTTTGCTGATCTGACGCGCAGAGCATACGGGAGCGTCACAACCCCTCGTCTGAAAGGGAAGGCATAACAAATCAATTCATCCCAGTGCCTCCCCCGAAAAATGTATAATTACATATATATATATATATATGCTACCCCCCCCCCTGGACCAACCTTTCACATGAAATCTTATAGACTTTCAACAGTCCAGAACTCACGATACTGTTTTTGAGCTCCAGAAATCTTAAACTTGCCTTAAAATTTCAAAAATTCCAAAAATTCCAAAAATTCCAAAACTTCCAAAAAGTCCAAAAATTCCAAAAATTCCAGAAATTCCAAAAAGTCCAAAAAGTCCAAAAATTCCAGACATTCCAAAAATTCCAAAAATTCCAAAAATTCCAAAAATTCCAAAAATTCCAAAGATTCCAAAAATTCCAAAAAAAATCCGAAAGAAGTTTTGGAATTTCGGA